TATTTTGAATTGTTGTTTTTGACGTAGGAATATAATGTATCATTGTTGTCCGACTATTGCCTCTGCCGGTTAACTTTCTTCTCTTTATATTTAGTATGTCATAATTGGTATAATTTTTATAATTTTTGTTATTGTATTTATAACTTTTCGTATGATGCAGATGCTTAATGACATAGTTTTTGTGGTCCCGTAGTTTTGTTTTAAGCAATCATACTGACTATTTAATAGTAGTTCATCGAATAACTATAATAGACATAATTATTATGATGATATATAAGAAGAATTAAGATTACAAAATAAATGAAAAATGTCCGATAAGATGCAGACGTAAAAATTGAAAAACTTCGAAATTAACCCTAACTGAGTGTTTTCCGTCGAAATAGCCAGAGAAGGAGAAATCGTCACAGTTTCAACGAGGAGGAAAAAATGAAATTGGGAAGGTTAGTCCAGTGGTCCTGAAGGTAACCACGGATCACACTTTTCTGCTTTTTATGTGAATTTATTCGGCTTCTATTTTGGACATTGCCCGTTACCCTTCAAATTTACAATTTTTACGTTGACGCCCATTTTTTTGATGCAGTCTTTTTTGACGTTTGGTTCGAGAATCCATTTTGATTGCCAACTTTTGAAACTTTATGCTGTCCTATAACAGTTTGTATCTATTGATTTCTCTACCTACATAATCCAAATGTCTTTTCATCCTTATTTGTTAATTACTTACCACTCTGTGTTATCTACTTAACAGCATTTTAGTCATCTATGACATAGAATCATCTACGTGCTTCTTGGATTAACATGAGCCTCTGCGTTGTAACGCAAGACCTCTGACGTAACGCGTCTGATGTGGGTACAGGGAAATAAGTACATATATTTTGTAATACTATCACGTCGTTCTTTTTTACCCGCAAGGCACCGAAAGGATCCCCAGATCCTATCGTCCTCCCCGCGACGCCTCCGCCCTCTCGTCCCTCTCTCGGAGGAGAGGAACTGGACCTCGATCCCAATACCGTCAAGATGACCGAAAGGCTCGTCAATCAGAATATCTACGACGAAATAACGCAGGGTAAGAAGCTACAGCTTACATGAATACTAAAGCTGTCATTTCTATGTACTCTATATTTTTTGGAGATCTTTCTTCCCTTTTTAAAGCATGTTCATCTTGGCCTATGGCTCTTCACTATCACATATCAATGGAAAACTTCCCCTTTTTTGCGATCTTACTTCTTAGTCTTTTTCCCTTGAAATTCGCCCTTGGTCTCTCTGAGTTTCTTATCGCTGCCTTTTGTATCATTTTTTGTATTCCCATCTGTACCTAACTTCTGACCTTCCTTCTCAACCAGATTTTAGATACTGGGAAGACGCGAGTGACGAGTACCGTCAGCTGGAAGGATCTCTCTTGCCGCTGTGGAGGTTCTCCTGCGACAAGTCCCGCTCCCTCGTGGTATCTTCGCTCTCCTGGAACCCCGCTCGCCATGATCTTTTCGCCGCCTCTTACACGCCAGGTAAGGCACCCAAGAAAGAGGTTTCAGGCAATGAAAGATAACGAGGGATAATAGAAACAAAGCGAAGATATTCAAGAAGTAAAATGACAATCAGGTTACATATACAATGCAAAAACAAAAACAAAATAGAACGAAAAAGTCAAGTGAACAGATAAGAAATAGTGTCATACAGAAGGTAATAACAGAAGAATACAACAAACAAAATAAATTGCATGAATTGTATGAGGTGTGAAAGGGCATAAAGAAGTAAGATGGATGCATATTAAAAATGACAGTAAATATAAGATACATAATGAAGGGAACGGCATAAATGAATCAAAACAGGTGGACAAGCCGATCAATATGTAAAGTTGAGGACGCTCTCTCTTTTCCCTTTACACAAAGCAAGCGAGTCGGAGAGCGAGGGCAGAATCTGTCTGTTCACCCTTAAGAACCCGGGCATTCCAGAGAGGATGCTGGTGACCCCCCGAGGCGTCATGTCAGTGCAGTTCCACCCTTCAGTGAGTACTTCAACAACTCCCTCTCCCAGGCCATGTATATTTCTCCACATTCTTCTCTTTCTTTAGGTTGTGCCAAAGGAGACGGAATGATTGATTACACGGGTCAACAACAACAAAAAAATATTGTCAGAGATGTTTTAGTCTATTTAGGACAGTTTTGATGTGCTGAATCCAAATATCACATTGGTTATGCTCAATCAGGTCAACTTTTTAAACTATGACATGTTTTTTTTTCGTTTTTGTATAAATGTACAAGGATTTTCTCTTTATATCAGGGTTCTCAACCTGGGGGCGCCCCCACTACATGGTGCGATTCCTTACCTGGAAGAAATGAATGAAATACAATAACAGTCGGAAGGTTGTGCGGATTAGCTGGTTTTCAAATCCTCAGGATGCGTTTACACCAAGCGAATCGAAACGATTCAATTCATGAAGAATCAACACGATTCATGAATCGTGTTGATTCACCCCATAAATTTATATGTAACTGTTTACATCAAGTAATCGAAACAATTCAATTCATGCCGATCATAGCGATTCAGATTCAATGATTCGCTTGGACCTATTTTTCCGTCAGTCAAAGCGAATCAGCCGAGGTATAAGCACCATTCTCATCAGTTTAGAAAGAGAAAGACGTGCTATAAATGATCGTGATGCTATATACATACACACACACACACATACTATATATATATATATATATATATATATATATATATATATACATATATATATACATATATACATATATATATACATATATATATATATATATATATATATATATATATATATATATATATATATATATATATGTATGTATGTATGTATGTATGTATGTATATATGTATATATAATATTTATATATATATAATTTGCAAATATATATATATATGTATATAATGCATATATATATATATATATATATATATATATATATATATATTATATATATTATATGTATGTATGTATGTATCTGTATGTAGATATATAACATGCATATATATATATATATATATATATATATATATATATATATATATATATTATATATGTATATATATGTATATATAATTTATATATACATACATACATACATATATATATATATATATATTATATATATATATATATATATATGTATGCATCTGTATGTAGATATATAACATGCATATATATATATATTATATATATATATATATAATATATATATATATGTTTATATATATTATATATGTATATATATTTATATATATATACACACACACAGACACACACACAGACACACACACACACACACACACACACACACACACACACACACACACACACACACATATATATATATATATATATATATATATATATATATATATATACATATATATAATGTGTGTATGTAGGTATATATATGGCATCACGATCGTGACTGTCGGTTGGAACTATGCTGATTCAAAATGATTCAAGTCAAATGATTTTTCATGAATTGAATTGATTCGATTCGCTTGTTATAAACGCAGTCTCACATGCCGGTCTCAAATATAGGCCTGGGGCCGGCTTTACAAACGGTTTACGATATCGTAAAGAGTTTGTTTATATCGTTAAACCAGCTACATTCTCGTTTCTCGCAACGAGCGTATTTTCAAAACACTCGAGGTCGTAAACACAAAACCACTCGTAAAGCTTATCGTGGCGACCCACCTCAGCTCATATCAGCCTAGTAAATACCTTCAGGAGTGTATAAATGTCACTTTGCTTTGTGGGAATCAATTAATGTGCATGAGCAACATATTTAGGAGGCATAGTAAACAATAGTAAACGGAAAAAAATAATATGACTAATGTAAATAAGGATTGGTCTTTGCCAATGCACAGAGGTGCGGAAACACTTGATGTAAGCCTAATTTCCATCAGTATGACTATTTTCCTCTAAAGCAACAAATTATAATAAATAGTGATAGAAAATACGATCCTAACGGTTACGAGACCCCTGCGTTCTCGTTATTTGGCGTTTGAAATTGTCGCTAGTTGAGAAATCGTTGAAATATCCGACTTAGTTAATCCACTCTCTCTCTCTTATTAAGATTTATATATTCTTTTTTATTTCTTGAAATAAACGAATTTTGAAGAGTTTGCGTGCACCATCTGGTATTTTTATTTTAAGTGGCTGCTGCACCTCCTTATGCCAAGCTTTTCCAAGATTGATCATAGAAAAGTTGAAAGCTGGCAATGACGGTCCTGAAATCCGTCAGCTCATCAGAGATCCTGATTTTGAAAATTCAGTGAACGAAGTGGAACTGGAAGCGTGGAAGGCTTTTGTTCTGGTCATGAAGAACTTTCTCGGCAACAACAAGGCCAGGAACTATATTGAACATATCACTAATATGATTCCTGCTTTCAGAAACCTCGGATGCAACATTAGCATCAAAATGTATTACTTATTTTCACACATAGATCGGTTTCCTGAGGATCCGGGATCAATGAGCGACGAGCAAGGGAGAGATTCCACCAGGACATGAGAGACTCTCAGGACAGACATCCCTGTCAAATAAAAGAAAGTTCATACCCTAAATTTTGAACAATGATGACGTAATATTCAAATTACATGTACTTACTATTAATGTCTACTTTTGTAAGCGGTTAGTAACATCTGGTTAGTAACATCAGTTAGAAAATGATTTTTCTCATAAAAAACCTATTTCAAATGAGAAATATTAACAAACATCAACCAATGATATCACAAAAATGAAATCGATTTAGTAAGAAAATAAAATAAAAGAAATCAACTTAACATAAAAATCTGACCGGAACAAGATATCATTTTCGGATTCAGCGATGCAAAATTGCCCGAAATCAGTTTAAAAACATGGACAACTTACATTTTTTTTGTTACCCAGTGTTATTCATTTGTATGTAGTTATAAGTACAGATAGTTTTCGATACATCAGGTGGTATGAGAGCCAGATCTAGCTGGGCTGTGTCTCCGTCAGCACGAGAGCATGCTGGTGGCGGGTCACAGCGATGGGACGGTGACAGTGTACGACGCGAGACACGACGCGTCTACCGGGCGGCTCTCCTCCTCCACCACCTCCGGCAAGCACCTCCTGCCTGTCATGCAGGTTGGCTCCACCAGTGATATACTCATAGATTCTAATACGTCCTTCATATCGGTGCTAATTGCAGCTAAAGATATGTGCTCTAGGCTAGTGATTTCGGATTATTGTTTACATTTAAACCAACAAATAATATTAAAAGTAGTCTCAGTAGTCTAACATCATTGTCCGAGTATATATAATTATTGAAAATGCTAATGTTAAAATGAAAACAGAGCGCGATGCCATATCTATTTGACAAATTCCTGAAAAGCTGGCAGATTGTATCGGATTTAATGCCCTCACATTTCAAAGTTCCAAATTTCTTGTAAATGTAATCATTACAAAACAAAGTTACATCCAATTCACACCACCTCAGGTGCATTGGGTCACGACAGAGCCCGGAGAGAACATGAGCTTTTACTCAGTGTCTCAAGATGGTCGAGTGTCTCAGTGGTTTGTTCGCACTACTTCCCTTAAGTACGAAGACGTCTTGAATTTCCATGCAGCGGAGCAGACACAGGATCATGTAGCTCCCTCAAGTAAAACAGAGTTAGAGGGTAATGCAATGAACACTTGTCTGGATTCTTATTATGTTGTCTTGTACTTGATAGCACATAATATATTAAAGTAATCTTTAAAGCCACAAATCACATATCTAGGTAAATATGTATGTCTGCTACTTCTCTCAGCCATTTTAATCTTACTTCTTTTCCTGTTTTCTTCCATAGATATTATATAACCTCCATATATCCTTATCCTCCATCCAGACAATGTTCCCTCAGGTACTGCTACGTGCATAGCCCTAAGCCCTGAGCGCAAGGACGTGCTGCTCTTCGGTGTCGACACAGGCGCCTTGTTCCAGATATGTACATCCGACACCGCCCACGCTATCACACGCTATCGTGCCCATCTTGGTCCAGTCACAGCCGTCGCGTGGAACAAAGTCCACACGATGGTCTTTGCCAGTTGTGCCTTAGACTGGACAGTCAAGATTTGGCTACAGTACCATCTGTGAGTCTGTCTTAATCCTTGCTTTCGAGTCTGTGTAATTGAAAATAGTATTCCACTTAAGTATTTAAAGTACACTACATTCCAGGCGGTTTGTAGAAGAAAAAAGTATGTGAGGCTAGAAATGAAAGAGAGGGATTTTCTTCTCTCTTATTTGATTTTTTAAGACTCATTTTGCACAAGACACCTTCTCCAGATCGGCTCTGATAACGCTTGACCTTGGCGGCCCTGTTATGGAGCTAGCCTGGTCCCCCTCGAGCAGCACTTTGGTGGTGGCAGTTACTGATGAAGGCAGGGTGTTCGTGTACGACTTGTTCCTTCGGAGATATCACCCGCTCTGCGTGCAGAACCTTCTCCAGAGACGACGATCGAGCCTGACCTGCGTGGCGCTCAACCCTTCTCAGCCAATCGTATTGGTTGGCGGGGAGAAGTACGTATGGTGTTTGCCTTATCAAACACGCATTCATCAATGCTTTAGCAAGTCATATAGTATATGGATTTAACATATAGGCAAATAATCTAATCATAGAACTCAAGTCAATTTATATTGTTGCCCATTTAAAGGTACTTTCTTGTTCAGAGCAACAAATTGTACCCGATACATATATATAATTATATATATATATATCTATATATATATAAATTTGTATATATATATATATATATATATATATATATATATATATATATATATATATTATCACACACACACACACACACACACACACACACACACACACACACACACACACACACACACACACACACACACACACACACACACACATACACACACACATACACACTCACAGTCACACACACATATCATATATATATATATATATATATATATATATATATATATATATATATATATATATATATATATATGTATGTATGTATATATATGTATACACACACATACATACAAACATGTATATATATATATATATATATATATATATATATATATATATATATATATATATATATATATATATATATATACTTTTATGTGTGTGTGTGTGGGCGTGCTTGCTGGCGTGTGTGTGTATAGAATAACGTACAATTACCCACACACACATAAATATAAACATACACACTCCTTACTTTCCTGTCGAGAATTGAATTGGTGAACTTGAAGCATGTATAAATTGGCTTCACAGTCCACATGAACAGTGAGTTTAAGCGTGCGAGACGTGTAACCCCTATGGGAAACAGTGTGACCTCATCCAAATCCAAGAAAAGTATCAGGAAATTCGAATGCTGAGCGTCTTCATTCGTGTGTAATCAGGCCTGTCAAGCAATGTGCAGGACCCATGCTTTCCCTCTTTCTTTCTAGAGCTTGACTCCTCATTGATGAAGAACTTCCTGTGCTGGCAAAGCCATCCTACGGCCTAAGCGAAGAGGCGATTCAATCTTTTCTTAATACAACGTTATACTTTTAAAAGGAATTCAACCATGGGTTCGTAATTTTACTTTCTCACTATGTTGGGTTATTCTGACCTGCATGATTTCGACAACAATAAGGTCTTTTTTGAGACGACGCAGATATATAATGGTAAGAATGATTTATTCTAGTGCTCCAAAAGTAACTGTAACTGTAATGTTATCTGTAATAGTCACGTCGTTTTAAAATGTAATGCTCCCAACAATGTATATCAGGATAAGAGAAACTGTAATTGTACTTTGATTAAAATGTATTCATTTACAGTATTACTGTTATTATAATTATGATGATGTAAGTATACCAAGTAATTGTAATTTATCAAACGTTGAGGTAATTTGTAATTTGATTGTAACTGAAAAGGGGAAGTGGTACTGACTCGAGACTCCATGAGTAATGCAATACCTACTGTATGATTATTTGGTGAAAAAGTCGAGGTCCGGGGCCACTCCGCCACTTGCGATGGGCAGGTTGTACCTACCGTGACCTGTAGTTAACATGTATTAACGAAAAGCTTGTATTTATATATGTACATATGAATATATATATGTATATATATGTAAATATATATATATATATATATATATATATATATATATATATATGAATGTGTATATGTAAACATATGTATATACATACACATCTACAGACAGATGATTATAGATTTAGACACACACACACACACACACACACACACACACTCATTCACAAGTGTGTATGTATGTGTGTGTGTGTTATTAACTCGTCAAGAGTTTGCAACTGCAGTAATATCATTTATATTGACAACCACATGCGATGTTTGAATATTATATATATATATATATATATATATATATATATATATAATATATATAAATAATATATATATATATATATAAATAAATAATATATATTATATATATATTATATATATATATATATATATATATATATATAAGAATTACGTTGAAAATACTGAAATTGGAAGTCAAATTGATTAAACTAGGGGTAAACTAGCGAATAACTGGGCAAAGTTTACCGCCGCCACATAGGTCAGCAACCTCGCTACTACTCGCCCTTACACCTTTCAATGAATATCGTGATAATTGGGAAAACAACAATTCAGTTATCGTTTATGCACTGTGTGGGATGAACCGAGACTCTACTGAATAAATCCGAATGTTAAATTTGTTTTTCTGCATCACTTGTGGCTCAATGGCGTCATAAAACTAAATAATTAAGGGAATATAAAAAATAATTTAACGATACCGTGAAATGGTGAAGAGCATCTTATGTGACCTGAAGGGGACTGCCTCTAAAATAGGGGTGATAGTGGGGTAATGTGGAGGGGAAAAGGGGGGAGGGCTAAAAAAGAACATTAATAATTACAAGAAAATAATAATACCGATTTTCTGCAGATTTGGATATATTGTGTATTTTAGTATTTTGCACCCTTTGACACTAAACTTATATAAATCCCCCAAAGGAAGGCGAAGCCGCCGTCAAAAAAATTTCGTCAATTTTTTCCCACATATGTTGGCCCACACTATTACATACTTTACCATGGGAACAAATCAGCATAACCATCAGTAAAATCCAAAGAGACTAGCATTTCGTTTTCTATGAAATTTGCCTTAGTTTCCTTAAAAAATATCCAAGAACTATTTTTTTCAGATTTTCAAAAAATTGCCCCTCCCCCTCCCCCCCAAACAAAAAACGAGATCGAATTTTTAAAAGACGCCGACGTCACTTTCTGTGCATCTTAAATAATTTTCAAATGATACCAGCAAAATTCAAATCAGATAGGAACTGTTTGCAAATATATACAGACATATTTTACGAGGAAGAAAAGACTGAAGATGTTCCAGTCAATTATCTGTTAATTTCGTTTAGTCTCATCGAATAACCAAAGAAACTACATTCATTTCCCTTTCTAATGCTGTTTGTTAGATGAAGATATAGAGATTGTTTCCCATGTTATAAGAAGTTTTGTAAAGTGACCCCTACAAAAAGTTGATAATCCATTTGCTTTTGGAATATGAAATCATGCGGAGTTCCATTAGCTTTCCAGTGACATGAATAAATTTTAGATCGGATATAAACAGTTTGAGAATAGCTGTACAGAAGCTCGAAAATTTCAGTGAGGAAGAATTGAGAATATTTCCATCAATTTTCTGA